AACTAGGTTGAGAGCAATGCCGAATAAGTCGCGATGACTAGCAAAAAAATAGTGCATCGGAAACTACGTTTCAGAATTGATGCTTACTATGATTCGCCCTGTGTTTGCGAAACGTACGGAGCATGCCAACGGCCCGGTTGATATGGCGCCGCCGTCTTTGTTCCCTTGAACGATGGCGCAGAGCGAATAGCACTTCTTCGCGTGCAACCCATGAGACTAAACCCCTCTCCGGGACCGGCTGGTGATTGCAAAAATTACACGCGGATGTAGTAGCAATACTACACGGAGAGCATTGCACACCCCCCAAGTGAAACTCGCAAGGCCGGTAGCAGCGCTCGTCCGCCGTTTCTTGGGGGCTCTCCGCCTTCTGAACCTCGAAAGAGGGAAGGGGGGTCACTCGCACTCATACGTTAAGGGGTTTTGCAGCGCGAGAGTGAGCGAACAAACAAAGCTAACATATCGACGCGACGGTCGCGTTTGGAAACAAACATGGAAACACGAACATGGAAAGACGAAATGAATAGACCGGTCGCTAACTAACTAATTCGCATGCAATCTAATTTACAAGCTACCTTAATTCGCGAATTCGCGCCGATACGGCACAAGGGCACAACCTCATGAGTTTTTGCTCATGTTACACCTGGCAATACGGTAGATACTACGCAACTCCACAGACACTTGGTCCACGTTCACTAACGCGTTTCTCACTTCTCAAAAATCATAAGCCTAGATACTACGCAACCCCACGGATACCTAGTCCATGATAAAAATACGCGTCCTCCCCTCCGCCATTACCACTGCAATCGCCTTACACAACTCAACTCCAGGATTTCAACCGGTGTGCACCATGCTCAACACTCGGCGGGGGCAATTCATCTCCACTCAACTGGGGCCCAAAACCTCATCGTCGCAACAACACAAGAAAAAACACGAAATCGGCATGCGTTCCACAATACCATCCGTCGCGAACGGCTGCAGGGAGAGATTCCAACATGATACTAACGCAATTTAGTTACCTACCGCGCCGGGAGACTGAATAAAAGGCCAGTTTAAAAAGTCGGCCCTACAGGGCGGCGGCAAACATACAAAACACACAAAAAATAAGAAAAAAAAACGAATCACTCACCCTTGGCGTCCGTCCATCCACGTCCTGCGATGGAAACCACTCGCTGCTACCAGTGAGCGTTAGCCCAGTGGAAACGGCTTAGAGTAATACAGCTGTCTTAACACCAGAATACGAAGCAGTTTACTATAGACGACACAGGCTGCAGTATAGAAATATGACCATGAGTATCATAAGTCCTTGGTTGGTGACGACGGCTACACGACGGGGCAAACGTCCGCCCGGGGATGAGGAGAGCGCCACCGCTCGGGAGCTGGGATCGGAACCCCTCTAGCATAAAGTTGCGATGCGGCCACGCCCTGAAATAGATGAGTCAGTAGGCTTAGATGTTAAGATAAAATTCCAGCGCGTAGCGCTGCTCTTACATTCTAAGTTAAGTGTAATATGATGATTGGGTCTCGAAAAAGAGCATGGCCGCGCTAGAATTCCACTCTGACATCTTTACCGTCCTACTCGATTTCCATGACGCCTCAGGATCTACACCAAGTTTCGCACGGTAGTCAGTTACTGTGCACAACAAGTAAAGACTCTATTATTAATCAATACTGTTTGGTTTGAACTAAAGATTCCCTCTTTTTCTGCGTGTACACGCGCGTCCAGTTTCCATCCATATGTTAAAAGTGCGGTAACGAAGCCCTGAAACGGTGGGATTTTCGAACAGCTTTGTTTCTTCGCAGAAAAGCCATTGTTACTATTAGGTTGATGCATAATTCCTGCACCAAAATAGGTACAGACCGCAATAACTCGGAGTAATCCTATATCCCAAGTAGGATTCGATGTATCATTTGATAGAGCAAACCTAGCTCTACAAGATAGTGCTCAAATATCTACACCAGCTTTGATCCACGCGAAGTTTTGAGCCAAAAACTGAAAAAAACCATGCGTCCGCAAACCTTAAGACAGATCTTAAAAAAATTGTAACTTCGTTCAAAAAGCTCATACAAATTTTCTTTCTTGCTCACGCGTAGACGTTCCACGTAAAACATTTATCTATGCGGTTGCTGTATTTTTTTCTCAAATAGGCGATGAAAAAAAGAAGTTTTTTGAAGTTTTTCATGTTTTTGCCAAATTAGTGCTGAGATGTTCTAGTATTAACAGTTGTATAGTACATGCCGTTAGCAGTGAAACTTTACATTTTCAGCCTTCTAGAACTGCTAGTTCGCGTGAAATAACGAATCTAGCTCTCCTTATCCAAATTTTTCTTGCCTGGTTGCTAAAAATTCGATATTTCTCGTGAACCAGCTGCTCTAAAAAGCTGAAAATTCACATTTACGCTTCTAAGGTCCTATAGTATACAACTGCCAGTGCTAGAACATCTCAGCATTGTTTTGGAAAAAACATGAAAAACTTCGTTTCCTCATCGTCTAGTTGAGAAAAAAATACAGCAACCGTATAGATAAATGTCTTACGTGGAACGTCTACGCGTGAGCAAGAAAGAAAATTTGTATGAGCTTTTTGAACGAAGTTACAATTTTTTAAAGATCTGTCTTAAGGTTTTCGGACGCATGGTTTTTTTCAGTTTTTGGCTCAAAACTTCGCGTGGAACAAAGCTGGTGTAGATATTTGAGCACTATCTTGTAGAGCTAGGTTTGCGCTATGAAATGATACATCGAATCCCACTTGGGTATAGGATTATTCCGAGTTATTGCGGTCTGTACCTATTTTGGTGCAGGAATTATGCATCAACCTAATAGTTTTGACATTGGCCAAGCAAACGAAAACTGAATGCAGCACGACCAATTTGAGCAATTTTTTAACCTTGACTTTGAAATAAGCTGAATAATTGCTTCGCAAGCATCCGCATTTTGTACTTTTTCGAAAGTGACAGTGACTGAAAATTCTGCAAGATTTGTAACAATTTGCTTTTTGCACTAAATTTGCAGCCATTTTCTCACTTCGTGCAAATGCGTTGCGGATAACATAGTGCGGATAAATTGCTAGGTTCTTTCACGTGCTGGGTTTTTTCATAGCTTACAGGGATGTCGACAGCCTGCACAAATTCGTTCCTTATACATGCTTGCTGCTTGAAGGGAGCCGGCTTTCAAGCAGCAATGGCTTTTAAAGCCAATTTGGTAACCGCCACATGGATATTGTTTGCCACTCAGGAATCTGTCTGCTAACAGCCGAACGCTCAATAAAAGGCTAGTTTTTATCAAACTTACCAGCACACTTTAGAACGGATCGTGCTATTCAGAAGTTGCAGAGTCAATTTTTGAACTAGCTTTGAAAGTTCTAAAAATAACGATCTGCGGTGCCATTGTTTTCGGTAATGGTGCGTTTACTTGCGTGGTTGGAAATGACATTTTTTAAATTCGAAGTCAAACTAGAGGTAACTTACAATCGATAAGTGTGCGCTCATTTAGGACTTATGAATTGACTTACTTCAAGTGCAACACCAAACTGCTATTCATAGTTCTAATTCACTCCAGTAATCATCGATCACGTTAGTGACAATCGCTTGGGGCCCTATTTTGAAGTAGCTCCACATCTATTATTTGGATATGGAGCAATAAAAGGACAAGCTGGTGATTCGGATAACAGGCGACCATGCTGTTGAGCTTGCTCCTCTTGGTAAGAAATGAGACTACATCGATTTATCAATAATTAGTGCCTACGTCTCTCAAACTTAAAAACTTTGCGACTTGATACGTTAACTTGTTAAATTTGTGACTCATTAACGATATGCGGAATGCGCATTCAGTCTCTCGGAAGTTTCTAGTTTCGTTTTATTGTTATCAGAATAATCAGTGACATACAGTTTAGAGTTAGCAGTTGTGACAATCATGATATTGTGAAAACTGCGGAGGAATAAGATTGTATAAAGTGCCATTCACGCCTGAACAAATGCGCGCTAGTTGAGAATGCTTGAAAAATAAGTCGGTTTGAAAGCTCGTGTCTTTTTGAAATCTAATCTGATTTCTTTCAATGTTTGCAAACGTTCTAAACAGTTTTCGTCTTTCAGAGCAGAATCTTCGTTTTTTCAACAATGGTGTCCCTGTTCTTATTTCTTTGATGTTGCTAGAACACTCTCAGACTCCTAACCATGATTTTTACCCACCCTATTGCTATCTTTCAAAGTCTTTATTTCTAACTTTCAGAAGAGCTTTGATCGCTGTTGGATGGAGTAGACAAAATGCGAAACAATGAATTTTTTGGCCTTCGAGTGGCTTGCCAAAGTCATCAAAATAATTTTTTCTCCATTTTTGCGAAGTCGTGAAAAACACAAACGTTCCAAACACTAAATATCTCGATATCTGAAACTCCCCAAAAAGTGAATTATGATTGAATGTTATTATGACAAAGCAGATGTGTGTTTAGTTTAAAAACATTGAAATGTTTGAGGGCGCAGCTTGTGGTGCGTTAGAAAGTAGAATCACAATGATTCTATCCTCGAATCCCTCATAAATCAGGAAAAAAATCTTTGCCAGAAAGAGAGGCATGCCAATTTTCACTAAATTCTGGATTCTCTCAAGACAGCACGGTATTTTGACTCGTAAAGATATGCAACATGCGTATATACTCTGTGCCAATGTGAACTGATCCAAAGGAATTTCTCTTACATTTTGAGTGCATATTGGAAAGACACCTACGTTGATATTGGATCTTCATGACCGACCAGAAAGCTCACATTGAGTTTTTTTGGTTTTAGTGATTACAGCTAAAGATGAGGGATTAGTCAACAAATTAATTTGCTGCTCTAGACAAACGAGTCGATTGCGTTCTCCAACATAAGTTTGTAGAGTGCGGTTGAAATATTAGAGGAAGATGGACTATTTGGATTCTTTGCATTTACCCAACCTACTGAAACATCACTTTTTGTTGGAGAAAGAAATCGCTTTAGAATTCATGGCTTTAGGACTTGCCTGCAGCCATTTTGATGGCTGAGAGATCCGAAAAGGCTGCGGTTAACACAAACGTTGATCCTTTGCCAGGTAAAATTTTGTTGAACAACTTGTTCTAATTTGATTCCCTTTTGTCTTACGCGACAACTACAGCACTGCAAGCGCATCTCGATGTACCACCTCCCCCACACCCTCAAAGGGACAATAAGCAGAAAGTTTCTGCAGACAAACCAGAAACTATTGATTCGAGCAGACGAGATAGAACAACACTTCCGCCTCCAAAGCCTGGTGGAACACGAACAACTACTCCTCTTCCAACGACAACTAGCAAACCAGAACTTCCGACATGCAAAAAGGAGCGCATTTGTGACAGCAAGAGAAATAGTGAGGAATTCAGGGAGCTGGTCGTCGCTCTTCATAAGGAACTCAGGTAGACGCTGTTTCAGCATAAAATTCAAAACAATTACAAGATTAGTCATTTTACAACTTCCTCTATCACACTTCTCTTTTGCAGTGAGGAAAACGCGCTACTAAAAATTTACTTCTAGAAGAGAACTTGACGTCTATACATGGCATTACTCTGATGAAGGATTGAAGGAGCTGGACTTAGTAAGTGTTATAGAAAATGTAAGTTGTTGAAAAGCCATGTAAAGAGTACATTCGCAGACATATAACTGTACACTGGAGAAGTCGGCCTATCAACGGATACATGAGTGTAAAAAAGCACTCTATAGCAGTAAAACCCATAACAGTGCCGTGATAAGAAGACATCTTGGTCAAGAAAAAGTCTTAGCATTTCTGAAGGTTTGCTTTCTTGTTGGAGCTCTTCGAACGGAAAAAGGAAATCTCTTATTCAGGCGTTTTCCTACTGGCGAAATGGCAAAGAGAAAGGGACTAATGAAGACTTCAAGCCGCATACCGAATATGACAAGGTGGAAGGAAAGTAAAAAGTTTTTTGTCTGAAAAAACTCCACTACAGCTCTCATGGGACTCATTGTCTGCAATTGGATGCGCCGTAAAACAATGCAAAAAGCGGGGTGAAAGATTCACCCTCGTGGATTGCAAATACGATTACAAGTAAATCATCTGTTGCCTCTGCATACTCGAAAAGCAAATGTTTTCAGCACGCAAATGTTCTAGTGCCGGGATAACCTAAGCGCTACAAAGATGGACGGAAGCTTTGTCAAGAGCAAACAAATTTGTTCGATATTTTCTTGCACAGTTTTCAATTTTTCGAGTTAGATAGATAGTTCAGTAGAGTGATTCTTTGTAGAAGAAATATCCAAACATCTATTTTCTTTTTTCTGCTTGCGTTTGTACACCTTTCAACAATTAGGGTCTATGATTTCATAATGTTATATTTACAAAGCCAAGTTGAACTTTCAGAGCATCGAGTGAAAGGTTTTTTGGAGTTTTTTTATTCGGCTTGATCAAGACGGGATTCGGTAATATAGGTTGTTTGTACCTTACGACTTTTTTTGAAGGAAAAGAACACGGTACGATAAATTCGCCATTTCCACTGAAGGTAAGACATGGCTATGAAGAAGGTCGCTCTCAGTAAAAGCCGTTGAAATACGACCGTGAAAGAATCTACAGTGCCGACAGTAAACCAGGAGTTTGATCAATTACTACCATCGTCTTCTGGAAATTCAATAAAAACTGTCTCTTCGTCTCTTCGCAAGTTACGTCAGACGGTGGTCGCTTTTGGCTTGTATCGACTACGTAGCGGTAGCAGCTCTAGACTTTCCAACTCACCGCTTTTCTTACTGGCCTTGGCAAGGCTCGGCACAAGTTGTATCATTGATGTTTTGAAAACATTTGGACTTTGAAAGTAATTTAAAAACTATATGAGTGAGAGTTATCAAAGAAAAGACCAAATGGTTCCTTTCTAGAAAGAACAAATTATCAAGGCGCTTGTACTAAAAAGGCATTTGCGCGAGGTGCAGATTGTTGGGAGTAAGAACGAATGAATTGAGATGGCAACGAAGAACAAACAAAGCGGCAATCATCGAATAAATGGCAAACAGGCGCTAGTAGGTAATCGCGCCATCCCTCTTTGTCTGAACGGTTAGCTTGCCCTCATCTCGGTCAATTTGATGACGTCATACTTGTATCGGTCAGATCCTGAGTGAATTCGAGAACTTCTTTGCACTACAGAGAGTTGCCTCTTCATCTTTCAGATCTTTACCTCATTAAGGCTGGCTACTAGTAAACCTTTCAAAGTCAAAGCTCTTTCTTCTCATCATCTATAGACCAATTCGAATAAATTGCAGAGGACTGCTCTATTATCGGAGAATAATACAGGGTGTCCCAAAAAAATGTATCGAACGTTTGATCGTTAATATCTCTCTTCCCAAGAAGTCTTTCGCCTCGCTTCAGGTACCGTTTTGTAGAGCTGGCTTCAACTTAGATTTGCGTTATAGAACGAATCACTCATTTCTCTTCATTACTGTAGGATTACGGTAGAAACTTGAAACATATGATGTCAAGGTGGAAAAAGCTGCCGTTTCAAAATTTTTCAAAAATTGTGAAAACTTGTGTAATAGGGTTTTTATGGACGCTGAGTTCATTACTCAACTATTCACAAGATTACGAAGCTTTCTAAACGGTGTAATCGCACTTTTCAGGAACATTGAAAAAATGGCCACTACCTCTTACCTGGCATAACTCTTCAAAGAAGCATCATAATAAGTTGGGAACTTTACAGTTATAATCAGCAACTCTAATTAGCCTAGTGTAAAAGCTTTCAGGCTGTTTTGTTTCCTTTCTAAAGCAAAATATGGCCTTTCATTGCTTGAAACCCTCTTTGAAGTTTCTACCGTAATCCTACAGTAATGAAGAGAAATGAGTGATTCGTTCTATAATGCAAATCTAAGTTGAAGCCAGCTCTACAGATTGGTACCTGAAGCAAGAGAAAAGACTTCCTTAGAAGAGAGATATTAACGATCAAACGTTCGATACATTTTTTTGGGACACCCTGAATTATGCTATTTCAATGCTAGTAATGCACTACGAACTATGAAGTTGTTCTTTGAGCTCCGTCCGTTCTGCTGCAACTGCAATGAGTCATACATTTCCTAATTCTGAATAATTTTTAAGGTGCCATTCGAAAAGCAAAGCAACTTCACAACAAGACGCTCAAGCTTTTGGTTCTGATTCGAACCACCTCGAGTCTGAAAGACAAAATCAAAAAGTTCTGCTGTTCGAAAAAATCAAAAAATCCATATCTTTGTTCAAGAAGGCTCTGTGAATTCTCCACTCGTCCGCGCAACTACTCTACACATCACCCATTCAAATGTGCCGTTGTTATAAGTCTCTCTTGGTTATAAATCTAGAAAACAAAAAATTACCCTGCTTTTGCCAAAGTGATGCGTTCTGCTCCCACACAGTATGTCCCAGTACTTGCATACTAGGACAAGCTTGACACTTCCTTCCAACGGTAAAATGCATTTTCAATAAAACTAATTATTCAAGATTTGCATAAGACGAACGTCAAATTAAGACGGCTGGTTAGGCAATAGCATTTTATTTCATTTATTTCAGTCAACAATCTTTCAAGCAAGTAGTGTCTTTTCTAAACTGAAATAGACTGAGCAGAAAAAACCATCCAAACATAAAATAAAACGAATACAACAAACTATGGATGCAAACCAGAACAAACGGAGAACAGAATCATATTTCGAAATAATCTGTTTCTGTGGTATGACATTAGTCTCTTTGAAGATCATGCTTTTCTATTTTTCGTAGCATGCTTCATCACAAACTATTTGTAGGGAAAGCTGTGAAGCCCAACAGGTAATAGTCTTTTTTTTCCATTCTTATTCATGAAATAAGTAGTACTTGTCCGAATGTATTTAGTTCGAGTATATACACCAAGCATGCGTCTGATCAAAATAAACTAGCTAGCATACCGCTGATCAATATCGACATGAGATGATAGAACTAACCATTTCGTTCGTCTTTTACATAACATGTTACCAAATCATATTCACCTGGTACTCCTTAATTCTGAAGATAAATACTGTAACTTGCATGTTCTTTTTCCAACACAGCAGGTAACAATCTGCAGGATAAACAATCGTTAAAATGTAGCCTGAAGTTGTTTATTTTATTCGTAATCAGCATGCTCGTAGATGTGCCTGTAACGGAAAATAGCTCATGACACTCGCTTTGCAATTGGATGTATGCAAATGTCCGATAGTTTTAGAGATGGCACACAAATATAACCTTTGATTCAATTAATTTGGCGGCTGGAAGCAGAATCTTGTGACCTAAATGAGGCTTTTCGCGCCCGCCACGCACCTGTGTCTCTCTCGCGCAAATGCTCTCTGATCATTACCTAGCCTTGATTAGGTCATGAAGCCCCGCCTTCCCGAAGCCAAGCCAGTCGAATAAGTGGTACACATGTATGCATGAAGACACTCTGTTCCATACACAAGATAAGATATTCAAATGGTGAGATTTTTGAAAAAGGCTGATGGCCAGCAGTCGATAAAAACCTTAAAATTGATATCTCAGTTGTTCTCTTCACTACATGCTCAGCACTCTTGAATCAAATATTAGCCTCGGTGACGTTTCCGTCAGTTCACAGAAAGATGAATAACTTTGGAAAAGGCGGTCAGTGTCTAAAGATCACAAGAGGATTAAAAATTGGGAAGTCGGATCAAATTTCTTACCAAATGGTGGCGGAAACACCATGAACAGAGACGTGGAATCCAGGTTTCTAGGTCTAGAGCTGAGCTCCCGTCTCCGACGGTGACGTTCATACTTGCTTTGAAATCAGCAAACTGACTCCTGTCTTTTCCATTCACTTTCTCTTTTTTTCTTCTTCTGAGAGTGGTTAAAAGGGTCATCGAAACTTTGCTAGTAGAATTGTCGCTGATTACCGGCTATATCAGTATCCAAAAGGCAAATTTCGTGACATAACTGTCTCACGGATTTGATTTCTCCAATGATTCTTGCTTTTTAGTGTTACAAATCTCTCTACTTTCCTTAGTGCATTAGCTCAATAAGGAAATCAGTTAACAAGAGATACAATTGGTTGCCTAGTTTAGTTTGGCTCTTATGACAAGAATTTATTGCATGCGAGAAGATCTAACAAAGCGCGTTACGAGATCCCTATAGGGAAATAGTAGTCTTTAAATTGTACTTACTATGGATGTTTTGTTCTGGATAGTAAATGCGTAAAATGAAATGCTGAGAAAATTTTGTTAAAAAAGAGGTTAGGGAGACAAAAGGAGTTTTACATATCAAAAAAAATTGTGAGAAAAAAGGGGAAATTGAAGGAATAGAGCAGTGCTAGAAATACTGTGTTAAACCACATAGTCCAGTAGCTTGTTTTGACTCAAATCAAGAAGTGCTCCGGTTATTCATTGGGCATAACTGGTATTCAAATTTATAAAAAGTTGTATCTGACAAGGAGAGGATACTTAGTCGAAAGCACCAATCCAGATAAGACATATATCATCTTAAAGCGCTTGAAACGCTGATTCCAATTCTGCAGTTTCTAGCTGCGGAGCGGTTTTGTAGAGGGAGTTATGAGGGGTGTTTCCTCTGGGGTTGAGGCGCCTTCCTCCAGGTCTCCCCCTACCTATGAGCACTGTAGAGGAGTACCAATGGTGGCAACTGACCTAGTGGTAAGTGACATGCTTGATAAAGAGAGTGTCAAGGTTTCAATCTCCTTCGCATGCTAAATTGAACTTTTAAATGGCTTTAAAGCCCTAAAGCATGAAACTTCTGATGATACTGATACTAATCGAAGTTAGAAGTGTTAAAAAAACAAAGTAATATGAGTATTATAGTCTTTACTGTAATCTTCATTCAAGTTACTTACCATTAGGTCGGTTGCCACAGCTGATACTCCTCTACAGTGCTTACAGATACGGGGAGACCGCTGGAGGGCGCTTAAACCCCAGAGGGGGACACCCTTCATAACTCCTTCTACAAAACCGCTCCGCAGCTAGAAACTGCAGATTTGGAATCAGCGTTTCAAGCGCTTTAAGATAGATATATGTCTCATTTGGATTGGTGCTTTCGACTGAGTATCCTTTCCTTGTGAGTTCGATACTTGTTCCAGAAAGACCGGCTTGATTTGCAAAATTCAAACTCCATTTGGTTCTAGGGCTATTTTAGAATATTGTTGCACACGGGTTCAACACGGTTGGTGCAATCTGCGTTTTTTTTTTCAGATAATTTCAATGTTGAAAATTGAGGATAGCAATCACAGTAAGTGTAATGAGTTAATTAGAGTGAACTGCCAGAGAGTACAGATACACTTTGTTTTCATTTTTAAATTCAATGACATTAGCACTAGTTGCGGCTAATGAAACTAGGTTAGAACTTCCTATTTTAAGGTATACACGGTTTGTTTGGATGCGAAAGCAATAAAAGGGCAAACGAATGATTTGAACAGCAGGCAATCATGTTGTTAGGCTTGCTCCTTCAGGTAGGCAGTAAAGAATACCTTTAGATTATGAATAAAACTTGTTTGTGCCTCAAACTGACAGTAATTGCAGGTTTGTAAGATGTTTTTTCGAAAGTACCCATAAAAGTATCGAAGGTGCAGCGCATAAGATCGAATTTCTCGTACTTGCTTTGTTCCTTGCAGTCTGACTAAAATCAACCAGATCTACCTTGGTATCCTTTGTACATAGCATTGAACCTCAGCAGAATTATACAAGGAACATAATCAAGTTGTGATGAAGTGTAAACTTATATGGGTTAATTTCTTAAAAAAAATACCTTGTGAGTGTTCATGCTAGTTTTAGTATTAATCCTTGTATGATATGTTACATTCACCCAGGTTCAAGGGTTGCTGCTTCTCCATACAATGGATACTCATCATAAAAACCCTCTCTAAGAGTTGACTTCAGGTCCTGCCAACAATTGTATTGGCTACTGACAAACTCAATGCACGTGGCGACAACTCAACTATGACCCCCTCCTCAGGTAGGTAATCAGACAATTTAGGATTCTATAGTCGTTTCGCTTTCTAACGCAACATCATTGAAGAAGTATTCTCGCTACGTCACGACGTTGCAACTCCTCCTCATCTCTTTCCAAAGAAATTTAAGAAAGAAAAAACTCACCCTCCAACCGCGCGTCCAAACAAACATAAGAGGCCAACAACAACACTCCCGCCTCCAAAGGAACCCAGCAAACCAGAGCTTGCGACTTGCAAAAGAGAGCTCATCTGTGAAAATAAGAGGACTAGCAAAGAATTTAGGACGCTGGCTCTTGCTCTACATAAAGAACTCAGGTACGCTACGTTTCGACATACTCAGACAATGGATCGGACCCCTCCGGCGGAGAAATGGCAGGGCCGCGAGGTTTCCCCAGCGGGGTGTCTGCCACTCATGCTCCGGAGCCCCCCGATTTTGTGCGCCGGAGACCTCCCATTTCTGCTGCGGAGCCCTCCCATTTTGTGCTCCGGAGACCTCCCATTTTGTGCTCCGGAGCCCTTCCATTTTGTGCTCCGGAGACCTCCCATTTGCGCTCCGGAGGCCTCTCATTTTGTGCTCCGGAGACCTCCCATTTTGTGCTCCGAAGACCTCCCACTTGTGCTCCGGAGACCTCCCATTTTGTGCTCCGAAGACCTCCCATTTTGTGCTCCGGAGACCTCCCATTTTGTGCTCCGAAGACCTCCCATTTTGTGCTCCGGAGACCTCCCATTTTGTGCTCCGGAGCCCTCCCATTTTGTGCTCCGGAGCCCTCCCATTTGTGCTCCGGACCCCTCCGATTTTCTGCTCCGCGGCTTGTCCAAATCTGGCGGACTCGCGGCGGGCAAATCTCTCCGCCGCGGCTCTGCCAAATCCGGCGTACCTACGGAGCAGAAATGGCGTACCTTTGCAGCAGATCCGGAGAAGGGTCCCACTCGCCTGCCGGTGACGTCACCGCGACCTACAAGAAGGGACCGCCTCCTCGCCCCGCTCTCATTGGTCAACTGGGTCCGCCGCGACTCTAACAGATTTCCAGTGTCCGGCGGAGGGGTCCGATCGATTGTCTGAGTAGGCAGAAGTCCTTACACTTGCGTTGAACGGCGCAATTTTTCTATCGTATAATAATAGTAAATGCGTCTTGTAAAAATCACTGTCACTTAACTTATCTTCCAAAGAAAAGAGCTTGACGTTAATACGTGGTATTTCGCCGGTCCAGACACAGGCATGAAAGAGCTAGATTTGGTATGATCAACACATCTAATAGATCCCTCCTCAGAATAGCATTAAATTCAGGAATACAATTGCGATTTGGAAAAGTTAGCATATCAAAGAATACAAACCTGCAAAAAAGCACTCTATAGCAGCAAAACGCATAACAGCGCCGTAATAAGAAAACATCTTGGTCAAGAGAAAGTCATGGCTTTCGTGAGGGTTCGTTTGTTGTTGGATTCCAAACAAATGGAGGAAATCTTAATTTAGGCTTTCTCCTACTGGCGAAATGACAAGCAGAAGCGGACCAGTAAAGATAACAAGCCGCAAACCGAGTACGACAAGGTGGGATGAAGTTACTAGCACATTGTAATTATAACTGTCAATAATCTACTGCAGCTGACTTGGAAGTCAACATCGGCTTTCGGTTGCGCAGTGAAGCAATGCAAGAAACGGGGTGAAAAGTTCACTCTTGTGGACTGCAAATACGACTACGAGTAATTTTTCATTTGCTTAGTTTTCCACTTTTGCAAATATCGGTGATTTTTTAGAACAATGTTGAATGTACCGAGGATAATTCCGTTATAACCGAAATGCGTCAAGGACTTGCATACTGAATCGACTTGAAGATTTTTATTTCTATAGTTGCAAACTTTTAGAAGTAGGTGAGGTACTCAACTAGATGATGGCCTGCAAGAGAGCACTATAAAACTTCCTCATTGTCAAATAAAACTTTTGAGAACAACATTTCTAAAGACAAAATCCGGAAATACGATAGAGACTTTGAAAGCGACTGTCCGTTTGCTTGCACTCCAACATCACTCTTTTATTCGCCTCCAACCCCTACCCCTCCCAACTTCCCTTCTTGATAGTTTTGTAATCGTCGTGATTGAATACCTATTAACTGATGAAATCGAGCTAGTATGATTGCAAAGCCTTTATCATACCAAGACAAGCATGTATTTGTCTAAACGAGGTCCGTATCACTTTGCACATGTCACTAGGAGACTGTTGTGAGACTATTCATAACTATCAGTCTTCAATCAAGCACAAACTTTACTACTCTCAAGCCAATGCACGATTGAAATTCTTTAATAACAAGCAAATAACAAATTGAATGCAGTATTTGTACTAATCGATCGGGAATAGATCAGATCATAGGGATGAGGAATGAGTTCCACTGACACCCGCTCCCCCGCGAATTGCTGCTCCTCAGATAGGCTGTAGTGACTTGTAAGAAAGGAGGAGTGGTCCGCGGAGGTATCGCCTAATGGAGGATTTTGTGCCTTCATTCCAGCTTGACTGCTCGCCTTGTCAGTTGCAAAAAATAAGACTTTTGTGGTCAATTTCATTACTAGAGCTTATGATAATTGTAATCACTCGCACTTCATTTTGTGAGCCTTAGGAATATGAAAAGTAAAATCTACGTTAAGAGAAGCCCTGAATTAGTCAATCAAAAAAATTCCCAAAATTTGTAAAGCCTGAAGTGTTTTTATGAGTTCTGCTTGAGAATCCTTACTTGAGAATAAAATGTGAACCTACACATTATGCAAAAGAAAAAATTCGAAGAAACGAGATCGGGCTATTTGTCCATGCTTCACAACGCGGTTCAAAGAAGAACCCAGAAAATATGATCTCTGCAACCTGAGCTATTTGATAGAATTAGTTTTAGTCAGGCTTATGTACTGAGCAGGGAAGGATTACAAACTGCTCCGTCGAACTGACATAAAATGCATATTATTAGACGCTTCTTATTGAGCTAATTTTGAGTCTAATATTCAATCTGCAGAGATACTTTTTGAAGAGTCGTTAAGAGCGCTCAAAGTTTGTGGTTCTAATGCATAATGTGTTTTTGAAGTCCATCTTGGGACAGCGTATTTGACATGGGTTTAGTATAGTGATTACAAGGAATGCACACAATCACCGTAAACATAAATAAGCGTTTTTAAACGACTATCTTGAATGCCTAGCACTTTTGCTGTTTGAATTATCCATGCATCTGAATGTTTAGACGCTCATGACTCTCCTAGATAATAACTCAACAAATGCACGAGTTAGGTTGAGAGTCCGCTCAACAAGATGCATCTGGTGACATGCTTCTCGTTCCGGACCCCGCTGTGCTTGGAATTTTCCCCTAGTGGGAATGCACATTCATCAGGCCTTACGGTTGATTTGGGGATGGGTGAGATCTGGAACAGTGACGAAATGAAAGTCTAGACTGCCAGTTACATACAGAGTGTTGTCCCAAAAAATGTATCGAATGTTTAATCACTTTTCGGTGAGATTCCTGGGCTTGACCAAGATTGTTATGATAACTTTTATTGGCTGACGTCGACGTTTCGGTGATCTACGCCTTTTTCGGAGCCTGGAAAGACGAAGTCATAAGTGTCTATCCACTCAGACGTCAAGTGCCAGGAACAAAACAAACCCGAGGAGATCAGCCAAAGACATTACCAGAGCCACAAGAACTCATACTCACCTTAGACGCAGCACAATCGGTAGCTGGAGAGCAGACCAAATGATTCACTATACGAATGTTTAATCTGCAATAACTTTCTTATATCAAAAGCTTTCGCGGATCTTTGAGTGTCATATGGTAGGACTAGCTTTAGCGTATATTCACGGTACAGAGCGGATCGCCGATTTCTCCTAGTTACTATAGGACTATGGTAAAATTTTCGACTAATTTTGAGCTTCTGACAAACGGGAATTGCTTCTAATTTCCAAAAAAAAGAACCGAAGGGCGTCAAACTAACATTTCGGGGTGAGTCACAAAGTTTTCCGCTACCGTACTTTTCGGATTCTCACGGTATGCGCACTGTAACAATGACTTTAGCTTTTTTCCAAAATATACTAAATTAACTTCCCTTTGCCAAGCAAAGTTTAGTTGAACCTTGAAGACTTCTTCATTCTTTATCAATTGCAGATAATAAGTGCGAAAATTTACAAAATCAGGTTTTAAACACATAGTGATTTGATCTTACTGATTTGATTGAGATTTCGACGTGTTTATAACTGCAACGCTGATTTAGCAAACTTTGAAAAAAGCCAAAAATTGCGTTACAATACGCATACCATAAGTAGCCGGGAGTACAAGAGTGGAGAACTTTGTAATTAATTTAGCATCTCCGAAATATCTAGTTCGACGTCTCGGTTTTTTAAAGGATATTTTAAAAGCGATTCTCGTTTGTCAGAAGCTCAAAACTAATTATTTCTACCGAAATCTTACATTAACTAAGAGTAATCATTGATTCGCTCTGCACTGTAAATCTAAGTTGAAGCTAGCCCTATCGTATGGCACCCGAAGACCTGCGAAAGCTTTCCATATAAGGAAGTTATTGTAGACCAAACGTTCGGTACATTTTTTGGGACACCCTGTATATTAGAGGGACCGCACGATCAGTGAATGCGCGCATAAATGAACAAATAGCTGGTAGACAACGGAGAAGCATGGTGACGCCACCGGGAAACACAAAAAGGTAGTTTTTAATGGTAACATGTTTGACCTTAAGTGCTCAATCTCAAGCACCGAGGACAAAAGCCTGCTCGCAAGGCGTTAGCAGCGTCGTTCATTTTATCTCGCAAACCTAAGATGATTGCAAGAAGGAGCAGTGATCACTATCACTAATGATCTGATGCCGTCCCTTTCTGTTTGCAAATATGATATTCCCACTAGAGCAGACTAGAAAGTCTCCTTTTCTCTGTGGTCCGGGTAGAGCAACACACCGTGTTCGCAGTATCAGCTGGATGATGCTAAGTTAATAGTAATCCGAGGGCTCCGCTTCCAGGGGAAGCGATTAAACAAACCTGGAGGAGAAGTATGGTTGGTAAGAGTCTCGAATCAGGTGATTAAGTTACTTCTAGGCTGCTGAGGGGCATTGTTGCCGAAACGTAAGGCCACTGAACTATTTCACATCAAACCTACGTGGCACAGAAAATGCCAGTAGAGAATACAGTGATAAGTAATAGGCTTAGATGCACATGAATCAGTTGTTCGCTAAAGTTACCTTTTTTATCTGCTTTTGAGTCATGCTACCCCGTTCATTAAGGGAAAACGTTTTCCCACTTTCCGTACTTGATGATATAAAAGGCAATGTGTCTCTGTACTTTGTCTTCGTCTTATTATAACTTTGTTGAATAGGAATATTCTCTACAATTCTTCTAGTCGGGCCCATCCTTGCTGGCTAAAAACAATAGGTAGTTGCCGATTGTGTTGCTGATCAATTATCATCTTATATATAAAGCTGAATGTCTGTTTGTCTGTCTGTATGTCTGTCTGTCTGTATGTCTGTCTGTACGTATGTTCCGAATAGAAAATTCCATTTCTGAACCGATCCGGACCAAACTTGGCACACATACACTACGGGCCCCGGCGGGTGTCATAGGCTACTTTTCGTCATCGATCGATATCGATTTTATCGATTTTTATCGATTTTTTTGCTGAGTTCACCTACGGGGCTGGGAGTTGGCACAGGGGGGTAATCGAGCATGGGGATTCCGAATACAATATTGGTTTTCAGGATTATCGATTACTTTTATCGATTTTATCGATTTTTTTTGCAAAGTTTGAGCTACGGGGCTGGGAGTTGGCACAGGGAGGTAATCGAGCATGGGGATTCCGAATACAATATTGGTTTTCAGGATTATCGATTACTTTTATCGATTTTATCGATTTTTTTGCAAAGTTTGAGCTGTGGGGCTGGAAGTTGGCACAGGGGTGTAATCGAGCATGCTGATCACCCCCCTTGGGGATGATCAGCATGCTCGATTACCCCCCTGTGCGAACTTCCAGCCCCGTAGCTCAAACTTTGCAAGAAATCGATAAAATCGATAAAAGTAATGGACGATCTTGAAAACTAATATAGTATTCGTAATCTGCATGCTCGATTACCCCCCTGTGCAAACTCCCAGCCCCGCAGGTCAAACTTTACAAAAAAAAATCGATAAAATCGATAAAAGTAATGGACGATCCTGAAAACTAATATTGTGTTCGTAATCAGCATGCTCGATTACCCCCTGTGCAAAATCCCAGCCTCGCATGTCAAAATTTACAAAAAATCGATAAAATCAATAAAAGTAATCGATAATTCTGAAAACTAATATTGTATTCGGAATCCCCATGCTCACTTCCCCCCCCCCCCCTGTGCCAACTCCTAGCCCTGTAGGTGAACTCTGCAAAAAAATCGATAAAAATCGGTAAAATCGACGTCGATCGATAACGAAAAGTGGACTGTGACACCCGCCGGGGCCCGAAGTGTATGTGTGCCAAGTTTGGTCCGGATACGGCGGAGCCGGGTAAGCCAGCTAGTTACATTATAAAAGTAGCCGTCTTGATTTATGCAGTAGAGCCTTTCTAAGCAAAAAACTTGCAGAAGGCTTGCATTAAACTTCGCACGCGTCTGCTTCAGTTGTTAAAACCAGTTTCTATTTATTAATGATCCCTATCAAGACTCAGCTTTTGGGAAAAATATGTGCCAAAATTGTGGTACTTGAAATTGTTAAATTGTGTAGGTGCTCATGAAAAATGTAAGTATGCGTTTGTAAGCAAATACAAATCTTTTACTAAGGTGGACTTTTGAAATACTGTTATCTACTATTGAGCACGTTGAATAAGATGATTGAATCAGGTGAAGTAACCCAAGCTACATTTTATACGCCGTCCGCGCCGTGCTCTTAGAGCAACGCGGTTTCCAATGAAGATAGTTCATAACTGGAAGAGACGCAGAGAAAACAGTGCACGAGAGTGCACGTGGAAAAAGGACTGACGCGCAGTACGCACCTTGCGCACTCTCCGCGACCAGCGCGGACGGCCTATACCCTCAGGTCATAAGGATCTGGATAGATCACATATAGTGCACTATACAAGTACAAAGTCTTTGCGATTCATTGCAAACGCACGTACTTAGAAAAAGAATCTTGGAACGAACTTGTACAGGGATTGGAATGGGTAAATTCATCATAAAAGCAAATTCGTACAGTGGATTGTGTGTGCAAAGCCGCAAAAGAGAAAGTTAATATTACCCATTTCTGCATCAGTGATCTTTGATTCGTATAATGTCAGTTGATTCCACGGATGCTGGCCAAGACACTACGGATGCCTAGTCAAGATTGCAAACATCTTCACCTGGAAAACCATCTTGGAATGCCTTCTATTCTGAAAACATAGACAACTTTTATGGTAAATGAAAAAGTAAAGAAGATTACGAGAAGGCTATTTCTATTTCACCTTCCCTTTTGTTTTTGCAGAACACCAGCAAAGCCTAACCTTTGATTACCCTCTTGGATTTGAGAAAATTACAATTTCGCGTAAAGGCAGACATACTTTGCGCGATTTCAGTCGAGGCGCCATTTGGCAAATCGCCAGAAATGTTCAGATCCAACACTAGCAATGCACATGCATAGTGTGTATAATTCACGTGTTGATAAAATACCCTATCTTCTGTACATTTGAAATATGCTTACAGTGAGTTATAGACAGTTGGAATCCTGCCAAATCGCGTCGCGACTGAAATCGCGTGAAGTATGCCCGGCCCTTAATGTGGGTAACCCTCTTGAAATTTTCCAACGTTTTTTCTTCATCACATGTGGTGCACTTCCTCTCCCTTACCTCAAATTTTTCCTCTCGAAGCTGCTTTCAGACCTAAAGTTTAATTAGCAAGAGCATTCTAGAGGGTTTAATAAAAAGCTAAAATCTGGTTTTGCTTCAACTTCCATTTTACCACAAGTGGAAGTAATTCAAACTCACACCAAAAAAATTCAAATTAATCAATTTTTTGAATTTAATTTAAAAATTCACCACATTTTTAGCCACGCGAATTCTTCTACATAGCTCACAAGTTCTGGCAAAAAATGCTTTTATACCCCTGAGTCGTTCAAGTAGCATATCTTTGAGCTCTCTTTTTCTTTCCGAAGCTATCTTACAACGGTGACACTTCTGCCGTTTCAACAAAAAATGCTGATTTCCTTTCTACTCAAAGTTTTCGCCAGAGATGACGCATAATTGCCTACAAATCCTAACTTTTCTACCTTTTAGTTTCTTCCACTTTGCTTCTCATCTTTCAAATAAGAGAAGTGCTACCATGTTTATTAACTTGCTCACAATCTTCATACTTATAAACGGCAGCATACAATTGATCGACAGCATAGCCATCGACACCGTACATAAAGTTGTAGATGTACCGGCAAGTTATCATTTTTTTTTTCAATATTAGAAGTCAAAAACTCATGTTATTTCAGTGTCGAGATACTATCGCTCTAGATTGCATTGCGATGAAATCAGCAGGATTTTGCTCTTCACCTTATGTTGCTATACATGATTGCCCTGTTACTTGCGGCCATTGCTGAATCCATTATATTTTCTATTATGCTGTTTTTTTGCCATAAAATTTGTTTAAAGCTGTTCAATCTTCCACTTGTTTTGATTATCAAACTGATCAATGTTACGATCTGGTTAAAGGTTAAAAGTTGTGTAACACATACCCCTGCATTTAGGAGGTAGCAAAACTGTAAAATATGCCATCACCATTGCATCAGAACTTTGAGTGCAGTTTTTGCTGATTTAGTAATATTCCAAACAACCGGTTCCAAATGATTCAGAACGCAAATAGATGCAACGATAACATGACTTTATTCAGTAGGACAATTTCACATACTGGTATGTGCGCTAAGATTTTGAATCACAAATGGAAAAAAGACGACAGAGGCAGCAACCTTTACACCTTGATGAATCTCCTTTAATTCATTTTATCCAGTAATCGACTGACATTTTGTTGACAATCTTAGGCAAACGACTTTTTTTGAAGTTCCGGAATGGAGTCTCGAAAATTTACAGAAATGAATCATTGTTAGAGAATACTCTTCCAGATATTCGTTCCAATTTATTAACACGTTGCGCGAATTATAGAATCACTTAAAGGTAGCAGCTCGCCAAAACCGAACATCCCGAAATTTTGACATGGAAGGTTGCTTGCATCCCAAACATGAGAAGAGAGCAGGTCCGAGCACACAATATGCTGCCCCTGCCTACAAAACCCCGGTATGTGCAAGCCATTCTAATACGGCGGACGAGTTTGCGATTCTCCCTGACTCGCCAGAGAAGGCATGTCGCAATGCTATAACTACGAAGGTCCCGCAACGATTCTGCCTCTCTAGCCATGGAGGACGCCCTCCACGTCCATATTCGAAATAGGAGGCCTTTGGAAATGATGTTTTTGCCATTTTCGCGCTCTTCAAGGTGGATTTTTGGAATCAGCGCCTCAAATTACACCAGGTAAGCAAAAAAAAAACTTCTAGTCAGGAATCTGCCGAGCCGCTGCCTTCAACATTTCTTGTCTTACTACAAACAGCTAAATATGACACCCATGGTTCTTGAGAAAACTATTCAAAAAGACAATATAATTTTTCTGGCTTTTTTTCCTCTCAGAAATATGAGTTTCCGATCAACAACACCAACTTTGCCCAATTAGAAAGAGGATAAAGAGCTACGCTAATGTTTTGGATTTTACTACATAGTTGACTTTTACAGGCCTGCTTAAAATCGCTAAAACTCGAATAATCTCCTTCACTTTTTGTCTCTGCAACGATTAGTAAAAAGCTTCCGAAATGCTGCTGGAAGATACACGATCTATTTTAGAATAACAATTTCTTGCAAAATATCCGGATAGAAGGAAGTTACAATTTTTGAATGCTAAAGAACCTTCGTTTTAGCAATCTCGCATCTCTTTTCACTTGCTTGAGGTAAGCAAAAGTTCTCAAAATTCAGCGAACTCAACAGAACTGCTCGCAAAATTTGCAGATACCAGCTCATGCTATGCTACACTTTTGATTTTGTTAGTTTGATGGGCAGTCCACTGGTGATTCTATAGGGGAAAACTTCATAGCCATCTGCTTTGTATATGTGTGCGAACATATTATTCATCCTTTTTCGTAAGCATTCTCAACTTGAAAATCTCCTTACAATTTACAAGTCCAAAAATTCGCTCAATATAGAGAAAATGCTTTGAAGACATTAGTAACTAAATTATCGGCCCATAAAATGGGAAACAAGTGTGTGGTCTCTACATGGGTGCTTTGCTAATTATAGGGTTGGCTAATAAATAAGTACAATCTCACATGCAAATTCGAAACTTTATGACTGTTTGAGTCATTTATTTAGCAGAGATTTTTTTATGAGGAAATAGCTTCAAGCCTTTCACTATCACATATCAGATATTCAATATTTTCCGTCATCAATAAATGACAATTGTCCCCTTATATGGCTAGCGTTTTAAAAGTTCGCTGTTTGTGAACTTCTGCAGCTGAAAATGTGACAATTTCTAGGCATTTGCTCGTGGAAGTCAGTTTTTAGACAATCCCGATTGCTTGAATTTGACCAGCTATGACCATGCAAATGATTAAAAATTTGATGAATTGTTGTGTGGGCGCCCAGTAGCGCATTTTGCAAAAAACTTAAGTACTTCTTTCGAAGCATGATTTTTCGAAAATTCGATGAAGAATTCTGACTATTCCACTTTCCTGCAATTTTTGTTGTCAAAAGAGTGATTGTCGCTCAGATGGAGTTGAACTTCCAAATCTCCTTGGCTTGCTCTTTCCAGTGGTGCCGTACACTTACATGAATGAATTTGTAAGATTCAAACCGCCAAAAACATCCGAACTTATTTTTCAGCCAATCTAATACTAAGTACTCCAGATATCGATACCATCTAAAGTAACATAAAATGTCAAGTACTGGGGTACTTTTTGCAATGCGGATTCGCCTTAGGTTTCAGAAGCGAAACAAATAAAATTTCTCGCTTTATTCCTACTCAATCCTTACATTTTTGCAAACCGTTCGGTGTCGCAACCAGGACGCGACACCGCTAAAACTGGGCCAAGCTGCAAATTCTTCCTGGGCTTTGGCTTATCTCGGCAAGAGTGTTTTTCCCAAACAAAGATATTCAAATGAATGTTGATAATTAGGCGTTACCAATACTTTCAAAAGTATGCTGTATCTTCACGTCAAAATTCAAAAAAAAAACATATTGTGGGCAAAACAGAGGGAGGAAACTTGGGGTAGGATGTTATACAAGCACTAATGTAAGTTTTTCCAAAGTTTTCTTTTCATTTTCAAAAATTTTACAGATCCTCCCACCCATCTATCACAAAGAAACCGATAGCGAAAGCAGAAAAAATTGATTGAGAAAAGAGGATTATTGGAATAATTAGCATATCCCAAAGTGCATACGCATAAGAACAGGAAAGTCTACTTTTATAGTTGTTTTACAGTTGTTCCGAACAGCTACGAAACCATAGATTATAAGTTACAACCTAAAACCAGAGAAATTCAAAAGAAAAGAGAAGAAATAATGACGGAGAAAGCTGGATCAAACAGCAAAAGTAACAAGATCACAAAAAATTCTGCTGTATCTATCGTTCAATATAACTGCAAGCTATGTATCATCTACTCGAGGTTAACACGTTTTGATTATATGTCGTAATCTTCGAAAGATCAGCAACGCATCGATCGAGTTATTGCTGCAAACTTTTTAGGCAATAAGCTTCAGTTAAAGGCTATTGCTTGACGAAGGCGCAGAAGCAGTATCAATCGAGCGGGCGCGAACGCGACGCGCGCGTATTCTCACCATTGCGAATTCCGCGCCTTATGCGCTCTGCGGCTAATGAAGCTGCGTTCGCGCCCGAAGATATTGCGCCCAGGGTCAAGCGTGTTGATGTGATCCGGGACCCTCATTTACGACCCCCCCCCTTGAAGGTACCCATCCGTACGACCCCCCGCCCCAACTGCCCCCTCCTCCCTCCCCCATTTACCCCCTTACCTCCCCTGCCCACATTCCTCGAGGTAGCCTGCAGAAATGAATGTCAATCTTAAAAAACACCTGCGTGAGAACTTAAGTGAGGTTTTGGAAGCAGAATTTCTAAGCCAATAGGTGCACCCAGCATGTGTAGCGCACATACACACCTTCAATAGTGTTTGAGATCTGCAAGTTTTTTTTTTGAATTTTCATGCACACTTCAGGCCAGCAAATTCGGTTCCCGTAGGCGACACAAATTTTTGCACGGAGAAAAAAATGGCATTCTTGAACTACAAAAGATGTTTTCGACTAAGAAGCTTACTTCCTACCTTTTCCACATTTTTTCCCGCGAAAAAAACCGCTTGAGCGCCGTCCAGAACGACGTCAAAAACGTGCATGAGCACGGTAGTTTGAAAATTCGTAACTAAGGCCAGAAAAAGTCTGAGAGGCTGCAAAGCACAGGTTCTGTAGTATAGTGCCCAGACTATTCACAGAAAAAGTTTCAGCTCTTGAGGAGCAGTGACCTCGAAAAAATTTAGATGCGACTCTCGCAAATTTAGATGCGATCCTAAAAAGCAAAAACTGGGATTTTTGCGCTCAAAATTTTGTAACTCATCGGAGAAGTTATGAAACGGCCTGAAATTTTTAGCATAGAAAGTAGGAGGATGGCCTCGTATTACAGCAAAACTGTACCCAACAAGGTTCGATAGCTCCGGAAAAATTTAGATGCGACCCAGATACGACCCCCCTATTGTCATTTTTTGCCACCATACATAAAATCATAAGAAAATCCGAAGGCCATGAAGTGGGACCAAATTTTGCGCAAGTGTAGTAGAACATCTCTTAAATACACATAAATTGTAAGGACCATATGAAAAGCATTACAAATAGATTTACAAATTATTGATAATTAGCGTTGATAGAGATATGCGCTTTTGTCGAGCGTGCGAGTCTTCAGTGAGCCTTCGGAAGCAGGATGTTGTCTACATCAATCGGTACATCCAACATCTTTATCACACATACACGTCTTTAGTAGCATTTGAGCTTCTAAAAGTGTAATTTTTAAATTTTTGTCGTGCCAGCAGGGTTCGATCCTCGTTTGCGACAATATTTTGCGGGAGAGATAGTGATTCCCATAAAAAATGAAGTAAGTCATAATCTTTCAAAAGTGCAGCAAATGAAGCGAATTACGTTTGCAAGTGTTTTCAAAATATTGTTCACGTTTTTATTTGATACATTGGACACGGCATTCCATGAATTTATTATTAGGAACATGTAACAATTAATTGCCAACCGATTTTCTTCCATGCTTACTTTTTAATCCAAACTACCTCCTTTTACGACCCCCTCCCCTCACCGTAGGTACCCGCTTACGACCCCCCGTTGCGACAATCGCATCACACGCTTGACCCTGATTGCGCCTTCGTCATGCATCAGCCTATAGTTGTGCAATGTTAAATAACGTCTTTATTTCTCAGGTATCATGTGTGCCCCAGAATAGTTCCCATGTATGAACCAGCGTGCATACGTGGTGCGACGCTGCCTTTCGCTCTGTTT